CTTATTAAATCTGAAATTTTAATTTCAGATTTTACAAAATCTGAAATTTTAATTTCAGATTTTACAAAATCTGAAATTTTAATTTCAGATTTTGTAAAATCTGAAATTAAATTGGTGGTCCCCACTCTCTCAAAACTCATCCCCTCTCTCCTCCTCATGTGGCCGGCCCCTTAATGGCCTCCCCTCCCTCTCCTAATCACATTAATGACTCCACAAAATCAGCCCAACTTTCTCCCAATTGAATGAGCAATAATCCTCCTCTTTAATTTGGGAATTCAAAATTGGATTTCACTTAATTTTCCCTCCCAAATCACTTAATCTAAAATTTAATTTCAGATTTTCATTCTCTCCCCAAATTGATTTGGGATTTAATTAGTCTTGCCACCTAGGCAAGTAAATGACGTTTCCGTTTCACATCAAATACCCTATATGATTTCTCCTCATTAGAAATCCTACTCAGTCGACGAGTATTATGAATGAGTAGTTGAGTTTTACGAGTGAATAGTCTTGATAAGCAGGCTACTTCAAGAATATTCTAAGTTGAGTTCATTAGCTTACTACTATGGTGAAGTAGAGTCAATCTTTTTGGGCGACTTCATAATTCTTAGCTCTGGGCAAAGTTGAGCATAAGTTTTAACTCATGATGACCTAATCAAATTAACTCAAACGAATGCGAATATATAATAACATTTTTTTTCATAACCCCATCGGGCTTAGGTGGGTTGGTGGGCGTGTTTGATTGGGAACCCCCATCCCAAGTTCGAACCCTCTCATACTGCACGACTTCTTAAGTTGAGAGAAAAGAGCTTTGGGTCCTGCACCTGTGGGGTTGATTGCTGGTAAACTCGCCGAGGGATTAGTGGACATCGCCAAACGTCTCACAAACTGACGTGGCAGCGGGCCGATACCCCTGCACGTTTCAAAAAAAAAAAAAAATCAGTAATCAATCAGTGTAATAATTAATGTAAATCTTTTTTAGATGAAAAAAAAATATTAACTTTAGCTTAATTATAGATTTTTATTTCTTGAATTAGGAAAAAAATAATTTTTCAAATACATTGAGTCCATCTTTCACCTCTCCTCCTTGAAAACACCATCTTTGACATTTAAGAAGAATTTATAATTATTATCAGAAATTTAATATACCTTTTTAAAGAGGAAGGAATGCTAACTAAAAACAAATTTTTTTTTAAATTGAATCTAATAGTCCAATATATGTGATGATAAATAATTGAAAGCCATTTAACTCTTTCATTAATTTCAATGCATGGTTTATTAATGGAGCCCACACATTCCAAAATCCAAATAAATTAGGCTCAATACAACAAATAATGAAATATTAAACTAATCAGCTTTGTCTTAATTTGATAATTATTTCCTTAAAAAGCTTCAGTATTAACTTACATGCCAGCCTTTTCTTATTTAATTTAATATTTTGTATTAATTTGACTGGAAATTTGATGTTTAGCTTGTCTTATAGAAGTTATTTGCCAGAGTTTTATTTTATTAAATGGGGAGAAAATAATGTAAATTACTAATTTAGTCAAATAATTTAATTAATTTAATTTCAGTATATTATATGATTAATTGATCAAGATTTATATTTCAGATTTTTTTAAAATAAATTCAGTGATTATGAAATAATTATTTGACCCAAAAATTTTCCATAGGAGATGAACTTTTCAAGCCTTCATTCAATGTCATTAGTAAACTCAATTATTTTTATTTTTCTTATATTCTCAAAATAAAATATGCAGCCCACAATGCCAAGATCAGCCAGTACAGCAATTATGTCATTTCTAGATTAAAAAAACAAAAGAAATTTAGTATTTTCACCACAATTTTATCTTACACAATGAGATCGACTGCATGAATTTTTTCTCCATCATATTTAATTATGAATCAAATTCTTATTTAAATCTAATAAAAAAAATATAATTTCTAATATTTTCTAATCAAATATTTTGAGATCTACCTCCTCACTCTCCTTACTTTGTTAACATAGTATGAATCTTTTTTTTGAAATTTTGAGCCAATTTAGACAAATTTATACACACATCACATTTAAGTTTCGAACCCATAACTTTTTGGTTGATTAAAAGCTCTCAACCAAGAGATCGATGTGAGCTATGTACATATAGAGAAATTCTTCTGTGCAGAGACCAGACGCAGAAAGCCGCCCGAAAACCAACCAGAATCACCACCACGTCAACAGTACCAAGCAAAGGGATGACGTGATGCATTCTGATTTATGTCCGAACGACATTCGACATCCGCACAGAATAATTAATCGTACATAAGATGGATCTAATATATGTACCCTTCAAACAGGATCATTAGAAGGCCAAAGTTTTATAAAATTTTAGTATTTTCGGCGAACGAACAAAAAAATGGGGGAGAAAAATAGAGAATTTCAGCAGTGGATATTAAGGTAATGGCTCAAAACTAATTAGCATAAACTGAATATTCTAGCAGCAATCTTATAATTTAAATAATAATAATAATAGGAAATACAGCGTTTTCTCTATGCTTCATTCACAACTAAACTAGAACAGGAAATACACTGAACCTAACATTTATAGACAAACAAAACATTAGAACCCTAAGCGCACCAAAAATGGGACAAGAAAAATAAGTTACATGAGAACTCCAGCTGCGTTATCAAGCGCTTTCTTTGCGATTCTGAACTTCTGAGAAAGCGCTTTTTCTGAGTTTGAAGTCACCACATACTGCTTAATGAAGAAGAGAAGGCTATTTCTTAAAGATTCGAGCTCGGGAGCAGCAGCCACTCGCGTGAATACGTTCCATATGAGGGCGTCAGTGTTCTGAAACAGCGCCTCAAAAAGAATTCTGAAGTGCATAATTCTTTTTGGAGTGAGCTGCAATGGATCCATGAGATTGACTGTTTTAAGCAGCGAGAGGGAGAGGGAGAAAGAGGAGAGCATCTCAGAGATGAATCTTGCAAGGTTCATCGACCGGATCAGCTCCATTGAATCGATCTCTTTCAAGTGATCCCATATGCAGTACTGCAAAAAGAAAAAAAAAATGGCGGTGAAGATTTGGAAATCAAGAATTGGAGCTAATAAGAATCATGCCTAAAGCTGGCTCAATAGAAAAAGGTCATGTGTGTAAAAAAATATCAAAATTATCCATTAACTCTTTCTTTCTTTTTTTGAACGGGGATCCCCCTGCATCCACTCCCGAAAGGGCGTTTAACGGCGTGATTAATCATCGGCTGACCTAGAAGAGGCACCGACCCCAGAAACCTCCTGGCCCGCACTTAATTGGGCCCCACTTAAGAGACGTTGCCACTCGAGGAGAATTGAGCACGGGTTAGTGAGTTCTCAACCGTGCTCACCCACCACCAAAGCTAAGCATCGGTGGGTATCCATTCACTTTTTACGAAGAACCAAAATAATCTCCATCTATATTAAAAACTATTTTCGCCCCTCAAATCTTTAAAAATGAATCAAAATAGTCTCATAGTGAGATTATTTTAGTTCATCTTTAAGGAATTGAGAGACCAAAATGTCATTTAATATACCGGGAGACTATTTTGATCTTTCACAAGGAGTCAAGAGGCTATTTTGATTGTTTTATCACACAAAAAAAAACACTATTTAGGATTAAAACTATGATTTGCTAGATGGATGTTATCGCCGTAAATGGGATGGTTAAAGAATCCATTGCCGTATTATTCGAACGAATATTATATGTTGAAAGAAACTAAATGAAAATGGAGAATGAAATTCCAAGGACATCGACTCATATGAGGCTTCATTTATAAATTATTATTTGTACTCCTTAAGATAGAATAGAATATAGTTTGAAAAGAAAATTTTTGTAAAGGGTGGATTAAATGAAAATAATGTTTAATGCTGACTTAAATATATATATAGGTTCCACTAGGATGAGTTTTGATAGATTTCAAGATAGATATACTGAAGTATGATGAAATGATCTATACTTAATTGATCCATAATCTTGTAATAACAAATACAAATTTCAACAAATGAGGAACAATAAATTACTTTCAAAAAATAATGTTACCAAATCAAAAATAGATTTTTTTATTTGGAAGTGTCCTTTTTTGGTAAAAATTGTAAGGTAATTCAATAAAAACGTTTTGGCCACAACATATACTAATAATTATGAAATTATGGGTAAGAAGTTAAGAAAATTAATAAAAATAAATAAATATCCTGATATAATATGAAATCTTTTAAGTAAAATGAAGTTAAAATCTTAAACATCGAGATAACTTTTAGTGTATTGGTTGAAATTTCACACGTGCGTGAACGACAACGATGATATAGCGACCGAGTCGAAACACAATTATATATATAATTATTAATAATAATAAAGAAAGGATTTTAAAAAACCAACATCAAGCCTTTATCCCACTACGTGGGGTCCTGCATAATCCTTTTTTTGCATTGTGTCATGTTATGAGTAAAATTCTCCTTTAGATCTAATAAAAAAAATATCATTTTTAATATTTTCTAACCAAGTCTTTTTAGGTCTACCCCTACCTTTCTTAAAATAGGTTAAATCTAATACATCTACTATCCTAATCGGATCATCAGAAGGCCGCCGTTTTATGCAACCAAACATCTAAGGCAACTCTCTCTAATCTTATCTGCCACTGGAGCTACTCCAACCTTTTCACGTATATGCTCACTTTGTATCATGTCTCTATGAGTAAAATCACTCATCCACCTGAGCATCCTCATCTCTACAACACTTAACTTAATATTATGCTTATCTTTTAATGGTTAACACCCTACGCCATAAAGCATTGCAGGTCTAACCACCATCATATAAAATTTTTCTTAAGCTTGAGTAGTACTTTTCTATCACACAACAAGCCCGACACATCCCTCCACTTCATCCATCCAACTTGAATTTTACTAATAATATCCCCATCTATTTCACCATTACTATGAACAATAGATCAAATATATCTAAAATGTGTACTCTTATTAATGACTTGATCGCTCAAAGTCACAAACCCTTAATTAGATCTATTACTATAAAACTTACACTCCATGTATTCGGTTTTAGATCTACTCAAACGAAAACCTTAAGACTCTAAGGTTGACCTCCATAATTCAAGTTTACCTCCAACTCCCTCTTTAGTCTTATCAATGAGAAGAATGTCACCAGCAAAAAGCATACACTAGAGAACATCCTCTTGCAAATCTCTAGTAAGAACATCCAAGACCAAAGTAAAAGGATATGGGCGTAAGGCTAATCCTTGATGTAATCCAATTGAAATTGAAAAATATTTGGTCAAACCACCTTGTGTTTGAACACAAGTAACAACATCAACATACATATCCCTAATGACTTGAATATAAGCATTATTAATCCCTTTCTTTTTTTTAAAACTCTCCATGGCACTTCTTTTGGAACTTTATCATATATTTTATCTAAATTAATAAATATCATATGAAGATCTTTTTCTCTCTATACTTCTCCATCAAACCTCTCAATTAACATATGGCTTCCATAGTAGACCTACCCGTCGTGAATCCAATTTGATTTTAAGAAACACTAGTACCACATCATAACCTACGCTCCATAACTCTCTCTCATAGTTTTAAAGTATGACACACCAACTTAATTCCTCTATAATTCGCACAAACTTGTGCATCACCTTTCTTTTTAAAAAAAGTAATCAACAAACTCATTCTACACACATCTGGCATCTTTTTAGTCTACAAAATGATATTAAAAAGTTTAGTAAGTCAAGAAATTCCTTCATCTCCAAAGTATTTCCATATCTCTATTAAAATATCATCAAGTCCAACAGTTTTCCCGCGCTTCATTTTCTTTAAAGCCTCTCTAACTTTAGTTTTGGTAATACCCTGATAAAAACAAAAATCTCTACTAAAAATTTAGTGTTAAGGTCACTAAAATTAATCATATTTTCATAATCTTCATTGAAAAGCATAGCAAAATATCCCATCAACCTTTGTTGAATATCCTCTTCTAAAAAAATACTTTTTGATCTTCATCTGTAATGCACTTTACTTGAACTAAATCCTTACTACTCCTATCTCTTTGTTTGGCTGGCTTATACATATATCTTTCGCCCTCTTTAGTATCTAATCTATTATATAAATCATTAAAACCAAAATTTTTGTATCGTAGAATGCTTTCTTAAACTCCTTACGGACAACTTTAAATCTTTAACACCGTTATTGCCAGGTCCGAAGTCCTAGATGAGAAAATTATAAGGTTGCGTTAGGTAGTTGACACCCACCGTAAAATTTATTCGAATAATCACGAAAAGATAAAGGATTTAAAAAAAATCCTAAATAAAAAATATACCCAAAATATCCCTTACATAACACTCGTAACTCTCATAACCCTGATACACTAACCTCACAACATCACTCTCACGCATGCAAAGCCCGACTCCCCTCCCTCTCCACTCGGCTCCTCTCTCCCTCACACACACCCAAGCGGCCGCCGTCCACCATCTAACGCCTCGTGCATCGCCATCACCATCGTCTCGTCATCGCCACCTCGGTCGCCACACAGCTAAGGCTGGGGAATATTGTGCTTTATAAATAGGTATTCGAAGACTCGTGACTGCCTTTCTTAGAAGGTGGGGAATGAAATTTTGGTCGCAATGTCACCTGACACCAATCGTGATTGACTTTCTTGACAAGCGGGAAGGCTTAGTACCTCGATTCAACCCTTTATGCGGGGACAACGCCGGAATGCTACCAAAATTTATAACAAAACTCATGACTTGAGAAAAATTTAAAGAATTTAAAATCTACCCAAACTACTAAGTCAACAAAATATAAAATGCACGACATGTGAGGTTCTAAACATTGAAAAGCAAATATGAACTAAAAAACAATACTTAACAAAACAGAACTTGTAGGAGAACTATTTGCTCACCAACAAACAACTAAAACTTCTCTCTTAACTTCTATCTAATGTACACTCAAACCCCTTAGCAACACATGCTCTCTAAACTGAAATGCGCAAAGGAATGATCTAGGGTCGGGTTCCATATTTATAACCCAAGAAAATAATCCCCTTATTGGACCCGTTAAACCAAACTCCAAGCACAAAAATGACATGGAGAGGAGTCATGAGTGCACAAGTGTTAAAGTTAGGAGACTCGTACGGCCCGTGAATGTGTCGTACACCCCGTGAACATTTACTTTTGCAAAGAACCAAATCAGTGCATTGTAATGTATCAAGAGTTGTACGAATCCATCAAAAAAATGTGTGACGCACCAAATCACCGAACCATGTCTTCTACGAGCCCCTTATTGTATAATATTCATGTTCAAAATACATACAAATGCATTATACACATACATCAAGTGGCATGTACGTATATTGTCAATCATATAAGCGCACTAAATAACATGCACGCATACGGTTGATCATGCAAGCCAGTTTGCACATATGCCAATAAACATGCATTATGTAAGTGCATCAATATTTGTGCAGGTATGTTGCATAAACGCACTACGCAAAATGTGCAAGTACACTGTGTGAGTGCCTTATATGAATGCAAGTGTATTGTACACACAAGCTTACCAATACCCAAATACGTATGCAAATAAACATGTATACAAACATGCAGATGCACATGCAAGCACGCAATTATACAAATACACGTACAAATGTGTATATGAACATGCATATATATCAAATACACCCATTGCATTGCATGCATACTCACCATGCAATATGCAAATTAAATGTATCATGTGACGCACATCATTCAACATACAAATACATTGTACATCGTAGTAATACATTACATCAATATGCAAAAATATTATACGTTGTGTAAATGCTCTAAGTCGTCATATAAATACATCGAAGTTCTTACTTTTTAAATTTACAACATATACTATATATTTTAAAACAGATTTTTTAATATTTTTTATGAAGCAAATAACATTTATTTTTAATTAATAATATTAAATAAATTATATACTTCATTTATTATTTATGTACTATAAAAATTAATTAATTAATAATAAATTATCTAACCATAATAATTTATAAATGTAAATTTATAATATGAATTTAATATATAATTTATAGGTGTAAATTATATCTAGATGTATAATATAAATTAATAATAATTTATATTAAATTTATAAATTTATATGTAAGCTAAATTTTTCTTAAATTGAAATTAAATTTAAATATTGAATATGTTTAAATTTAAAATTAATATGTGAATTCAATTTATTTTTTTTAACCAAAAATTTCTATTATTACATGATTATTCTATCATTTAAATTTTTTAAATAATTTTCATATTTATTACATCATCTAATTCAACCCCAGTTTGACCCCGGTCAAATCATTAAATTCTGAACCTCTCCTTCTTCCAGTTCTATGTCCATACCGGTTTTCACAACCATAAATTAAAGTATTTTTGGAATGACATTCAGGGTACCCAAAACTGACAAATGTGGGTAGATAGAAAACACCTGAGGTGTGAGACAATTCTATAGAACTCTAGATAATAGCCCGTCAAAAGGGGAGCAGCTTGACCAAGCTTTGGTGATTATTTACCAGCACGGTTCTCCGCAGTCCTAAAATCACATATGGGGTTTGTCACATAATGAAACCTTAAAACCAGCATTCAAGCCAACAATTCAACGTAATATGAGCTCCTAAAGGATATATTTCAAGAAGAAAACTCTTGTGCTTAGATGCCGATAAAATGAGAAGCAACTTTAAAAAGTAGGAGACATGAAAAAATAGATAAGATTGCAATATAATTAAAATATTAAGATTGGGGAAATAAACACACCTGTAAAGTAAACTTGTGGTTTTTGTCATGGCTGCAAAACTTGGAAGCCAAAACTGTGTAATACTTGTTGAACACCTTCTCTTGCAAGCAGCAGTCAATAAGGACTCTCATGATTTCTCTATCCTGAACAATTAATAAAAACTCAAGAAACACAATGCATACAAAAACATACTACAATGCACAAATGAAAATGATTCAGTAGTCGTCCACATCCATATTACAAACCTTTTTCCCAGACAAATCCAGTCGCAATATCTTCTCGAAAGAATCAATGTAGTCTTCTCCACTCATAATTATGCAAAAAATAGCCCTTCTTGCATCAGTATTCATCCTTTGTGTAGCTGCAAGCTGAACTAGTTTTTGAGCTTCTTGCACCTCCTTGTTGACGGTAGTTGCCACTTCTTCAAAATCAATCTTGGTTGAACTGATTTCCCCTGAATGCCACCATTGTCCTTTCTTCTGAGGATCAAGAAGCTTACTCCAAGTGAGACCTCGAAGAAGAACATCTTCTACTCGTAACTGCAGAAACGTTTTTTGAGTGTAAACATCTAGGCTAATGAGACAACTAAAATAATAGAAGAATGAATCGAGAAAATCCACGACCTCCAAGGGACAAACTGCAAGCAAAATTATACAAAAGTATCCAAATCGGTCAGAAGTACCATGCAGATGATTAAACATGCAAAAGTAAACAATTTTGAAAAACAATTAATTTCACAATAGAGAACCACAAATGTGAAAAACAATTTACTCTGCTACATCTATGAAATCTAAATCAGAAATCAGAAAACAAGCCAATAAAATAACCTTTTGTAACCATTTCTTTATCCTCGTATGATGAGCTGGATCCTCTTTTGATCTCTTCTTGTTGTTCTTTATATCACATATAGTCTCAAGCATGAATTCCATCTGCAGATCAACTGAATTAGAACACAAAACATGTTCATAAAGTGATAATAGGAAAAGTATTTGGATACCTATCATACCCTTTTACTATTTATCCTTGGCTCCCCTTCTTTGATGCTCTTATCAGACTTCAATTCATTAACTCTGTTTTGGATTGTAACAACAAAACATTTCATGGAAATTGGATCATCACCTCTTAGCTTCATTCCACAACCTATTCAATTTATTATCAGATTATCATCGGAAAGAAACTTGAAGAAATGCACAATAAACTATCATCTGAAAGATGAGTTAAACGACAAACAGAGGAGAAAATAAGGATTTTTAAATAGGGTTGTATGTCTGTCTAGAGAAGTCGTGAGAATATTGTTTAAAATTGCAAAAATGAGAGAAACTAACATTGCAGCATTGTCAGGATGGTTGACACATCTAACTCTGTTAAGCGCTTGTTCAACACATCAAGAAGGTCAAAAAGAATATCACTGCACAACAGGCAAACAAATACTTAAACAGAATATTCACAATATAAGAAACAGAGTATACATCTTCTACCACATCATACTCTGTAAGAAAGCAAAATTACATCAAGGCATGGAACACACAAGCATAAACAAAAAGGCAGTCAGTTGCAATGAAATAGGAGTATCTAAATATTAGAGATGTAAAATTCCTCACGGTAAAATATTGCCAACTTGTATGAATGAACAAGATAAAGGCTTAACAGGATACAATAGAGACAACCGATTCATGTAGCAACCCCACGTAGCAGGATAAAGACTCGATATTTTTGTTGTAATTGTTGTTGTATGAATGAACAAATAATACAATTTTTTGTAATTAACAAATAAACCGCGTGAAATTGCAAGTATTAATTTAACATCAGAAATTTGCTTTATAACTTTAGCTCCTACATACAGAAAGCCCTCAAGTATGACTCTCTGAAAAATAACTGAACTAAATAGAGGGACTACAACGCTCTATTTTCTTTTACGAATTAAAAAATAGTATCAAATAAACATACAAATTTGGTGTTATATTTAACTATCTTTGTTTAAAGTGCTTATGACAAAATACAAGGTCATTTTACACAAGCATACATGTTTCTGATATTAAATGTTTTATGTAAAAAAAACTAGACAGACAACGTGCTTATCTATAAAAGGATGTGTTACTGAACACAAAAACTTCATGTGCTTGTAACAGGACCTAATTCTTAGCTTTACTAAATGACCAATAACAACCAACAATAACATCAAGCCTTTATCCCACTCTGTGCGGTCGGCAACATGAAACTTTTTTCTTCATTGGCATATTAAGAGTCAAATTCTCATTTAAATCTAATAAAAAAAAGGTCATTTCTAATATTTTCTAACCAAGTATTTTCAAGACTACCTCTATCTTTCTTAAGATAGGTCAAATCTAATACATCCAGTCACCTAACAGAGCCATCAGAAGGCTGACGTTTTATGTGACCAAGCCATCTAAGATGACTTTCTCTAATCTTATCTGGCGCTGGAGTACTCCAACATTTCACGTATATACTCGTTTTGCGTTCTATCTCTAAGAGTGAAGCCAACAATCAACACTTAACATTATGCTTCTATTTAAATAGCCATCATTCGCATCATAAAGCATTGCAGGTCTCACCACCATCTTATAGAATTTTCTCTTAAATTTGAGGAATATTGTTTGGTCTTCAAAATAAAAAGAAAGTTTCTGTTATACTAATAGTTAAGATTATCCTATCTAGTTTTTTGTAGTGCTTGTGTCTGCCAAAAAAAAAAAGGCTCCAAATTTGCAGTTTTACTTATTTTCTTCTAGAATTTGATTTAGCTAAAATTTATCCCGACTCAATGGAAGCTGGCATGACCATACCTCAATTAGGTTACCAATGATAGCCATAATAGTACATACACATTAAACAACAAAGAAAAAATGATTTTGGAATTTGTAGTAGTAAATTCCATAAATTTTGATGGAATAAAAAATTAAAATGAGTTTTCTCAATTGTATTGCAAAATTATAATGAATCCAATATTGAAATACAATTATCTATAAGTATATTTATTTATAAGCCAGGGTAGATAACCATAGGGGAAGTTTCAAATAGCAAGTTACATTGTGAAGATACTGCATATGCATGTATGTAGTACTAGGTCATTTACAACTCTGATTCTCTTTCTTCCCCAGCTGCTTTCATAATTTATGTCATTTTGCGGGATGCTTGGTTAAGAATTTCTGAAGTGGACATTTACAGAAAGTCAATGCAAAAAGAAAAAAAAGGACAAACCAGGTGTGTAGAGAAATCTAAGTTTGTACTATATTCAAGGATAAGCATGTGCTGTTAAAGGCAACCCAAGCACTAGCCAGTCGCTCAGGCTAGGCGCCAGACCATCCAAGCAGGCACAATTATTCATTGCATAGGGTAAGTGCATTGCCTTAAGACGTCAAGTTTTAAGGAAAGCACCTTTTGTTGATTGAAGAGATGAACATAAAAGAAAAGTTAATTTTTGAACAAGTATTTTCCTATTTCGGTTGGATTGCATCAAGGATCAGCCTTAAGCCCATATCTTTTTGTTTTAGTCATGGATGTTCTCACTAGACATTTGCAACAGGATGAACCTTGGTGTATGTTTTTTGCTGATAATATTCTTCTTGTTGATAAAACTAGAGAGAAAGTTGAAGGTAAACTTGAATTATGGAGGTCAACCATAGAGTCTAAAGGTTTTCGCTTGAGTGGATATAAAACTGAATATATGGAGTGTAATTTTAGTAGTAATAGACCTAGTGGACGGATTGTGACGTTGGGCAAACAAGTCATTAATAAGAGTATATGTTTTAGATATCTTGGATCTATTGTTCAAAGTGATGGTGAAATAGATGGGGATGTTATCAGTAGAATTAAAGTTGGATGGTAGAAGTTGAGGAATGCATTGGGCTTGTATGATAGAAAAGTCCCCCTCAAACTTAAGGGGAAATTTTATAAGATTGTGGTAAGACTTGCAATGCTATATGGTGCAGAATGTTGGTCATTAAAAGAGAAGCATAATACTAAATTAAGTGTTGCAGAGATGAGGATGTTCAGGTGGATGAGTGAATTTACCCTTAGAGACATGATACGAAATGAGCATACAAGTGAAAAGGTTGGAGTAGCTCTAGTGGAAGATAAGATTAGAGAGAGTGGCCTTAGATGGTTTGGTCACATAAAATGACAGCCTTCTGATGACCAGGTTAAGAAAGTAGAGATATTAGATTCGACTTATATTAAGAAAGGTAAAGATAGAACTAAAAAGATTTTGTTAGAAAATATTAGAAAAGATCTTTCTTTATTAGATTTAAATGAGAATTTGATTTTTAATAATGACACAATAGAGAAAAAGGATTCATGTAGCTGATCCCACGTAGTGGGATAAAGGCTTGATGTTGTTGTTGTTGTTGTTGATAATTTGGCATGTGGTGATGTGAAAAAAAAAATCAAGAATTGACAAAATAATGATCCATATCAGAATACAAGAAAGATCATAAGAGATTCAAATTTAAAATATTAAATCTTGAGAAAGAAGAGGATGCATTTGAGAAGTGGGGGGAGAAAAATGAAGGGTTAACAGTCCAGTGATGAAGAAGAAATTTGATGATGTTGAAGATAAAATAAATACAGGATTATATTATACATGAGTCATATATGTTATAAACTTAAATAATTTAACTGTTTAAATTAATTAAGCATGTATTTTGTGTAAATTATTGAAGAAAACCAATTTAGAAATATTTTTTTATATTAAAAATACAATGAAACTCGAGAATTTATTATTTTCTTAGCATAATTTAATGTGAAGATTATAATTTACACTCTTCAAAAATTATCCCAATAATTAGAATATGTTTAATAACTAGTTACTTATCAACACCTTAGTTCGCTTGGGTGAGTACATAGGTAGGTTGGCACCTAGCGCCTGGGGAAATCATATCACCGTGACAACATCCTTGACAATAAGGTATGCCTCACGACTGAAACAAAATTGAAAATTAAGCAAGTCTCCAAAGCAACTCCATAAACTATTTATGGATAATCAGGTATTATGAATTATTTTGTGTTAAAAGGTAATAGTTGTGTTTGCTTTTTGGCTTGACTGGTAGTACCTGAGTCACAATCAAGTCATGATGAGTTAATGTCAATTCATAGTCAAGTTGCATAGCCATAAGTAGATGAACTGGCAGGAAATTTGTAGCTGAGTTGACCCACACATCTTATTAAAATAATAAACTAGACATTGGGTTTATCAGTCTGTTAGAACAGAACCAGCTTTTTTTGGGCCATACCCTGATTTTGATCTGAATCCCTGTACACCATATCGCTAACTGATAGTTATAGATCAATTTTAGGATGGATTGACCAAAAAGTCAAAGTGCAACACTACCAACTATTAAACTAGCAAACCACAACACTATCTACCTAAGTTTTATAAATTTCCTTAAAAATTAGCTATATGATCAAAACTTGTAATAGCTTTAAAGACTGGAGATGGGTAGAACATGTAAAAAATAACAAAAGGACTACCCATATGAGAAATAGTAATCATTTTGGTGTTCATAATACACTAAAGATGGCTATACTTGCGACCAAGAATCACATAAAAAAGAAATTAAATGAATGAACCTAATAGAGCAAAATACACAAAGAACATTGCATACCTAGCACAGACACCAAACATGTACAAGTGACATAGTAGCAACGTAAGATTTCGCAAGGAAAGGCTGTCACCTTTATGGTATTCATCCTGAAAAATAAACAGCACTAACGGTAATAAACCCAAAATTCATCAAATTCTCTTACAGATGCAAAAATATGTAGCAAACCTACAACTTCAGCTGCAGATTACACCATAGAAAAAAATAATGGAAATAAAACATCGTATAGCTCTACAAATATTAATAATAAAAATGAACGAGTAGCATGTATTAATTGAGTGAATATGAACAAGCTTAAAGCCAAAGTAAAAAAAAAAAAACTCTAAAAATATAGTAACGCTTGCATCTAAGCTATATATATACTCTATCCTCGCATCAGACACAACTGATCCAAACATTTGGATAGTTAATATTTAAAGTAGCTTTTAAGAATTTAAATGATATTAGCTATCGAAAAAGATAGAACGATTTATTTTCAACCTCAATCATTCGAAAATGTGGATGAATTGTCTAAGATGTTTTAGGGCAAATGCTCCTATCCTTTTAAAAGGATAGCAATCTCTTTCTAGTTGAAGACACAAGTCTGTGGGTATTAATGTTGATGGTAAGCCATCAGTGGTATCACAAGACTTCTTTTCATGGACCCAATCCATTCAGACCAATGGTTGCATCATTATTGTCTAATTATTTTCATACATATAGTTGTGTTGTTAATTGTAACTTTTATGCCATCAAGGTGTTGTTATTATATTTGGTTGTAGTGTCACTATTTCTTTAGAGTTGTACGAGCACAATTAGAAATTAAATGGGTGCTTTAGACGTTGTCCATGAAATATGTCGAACATTGACACTTCTTTAATAAGCCCTATCACAAATTCATATGCTGAAAAATCATGTCTAACATATTTGTTTTCAAAATTAAAGACAGACAAAGTTCCAACATTAAAATCATTTGCCAAAGCCCCAAATGACAAAGGAATGCTTTAACTTGAACGAGGCATAAGTTGGCACATACATATGTGCTTTCTAATTTGATAAGTTTTCAATTCCCATTGGATGATCGATAGGTCAAGCAATTATGTAATAGTATAATACTCTAGAGTTTCATTATATTGGAGACTCTTATCTGCTAACCCTAATTGGGTTGGCTAAACGGGCATAACTAAATCAACTTGCCCATAACTGACAAGACCAGGTTGATTGGAGCATGGAGTGAACCAAAGCACTCAAAATGACTCATCGACTAACATTAGGCAGAAACATCGAGTCTGTATTCGCCTAACCAATCAGTCAAAGTTTTAGGGGTTGGTTTGTTGGATAGGTTGATGACTTTACCTTGAACATCTTTATTAAGCACAAACAAATATAAGAACATTTTCGTTGTATGTATGTGATTATCAAAATCAAATTCACCACAATGTGGCCTTATGGGGTCAACAATTGTGTTATCTTTGAAATTTGTAATTGTCAGTGATACATGATCTACAACTCTATTTGAATAGTTGAGGATGTATGATCTTTAACAAATGTTGTGTCAATGTTGTTCATCTCCGATTGTAACCCCACTGATCTAATACAACCTCAATATGTTTAGAAAGATAGGACCTTTGGTATTTGTAATTGCTTTGCCTTGAAAAATGAATATTTGTTGTAGTTTTAAGTGATTGACAAGCTTCCAATTCTTTTGTATTTTACAACAAGAGAAGTAAAGAAAATTCCTAGAGTTGTTTCCACAGCAAATCTATGCAAATTCCAACTATATAAACTTGTGATATTAAGAAAACTCTTATTCCATGGAGATATCTCCTACTAATTACCAATTAGCTATCTGATGATCAGTGGCTTCAAACAATACTAGTTTTTCTAAAAACAACTTAAGCTTTGTGGATGAAAGCGCACTTGCACCCAGGAGAATTGATGGTGGGCCACCGAAGGGATCACAAAACTTAATTTATGCCCAATCAAATTCAAGTTGCATTAACATTCTTAGTTGTTATCGTATGCTATAGTCATGCTGTTGATTTTAACTTAAGTGCTGTTATTCTGACTCTCTCCCAACCTAACAATTTCATTCAGTTCTGTCACTCACTCCCTGCCTCCAGGCCCTCCACACCTCCATCACACCACATACATGTAATCAAACAATAAGCCACAAAGAACCTCTCAACTCAAATTTTGCCCCAAGAAACAGTTCTTATACATATCCAAAATACTTCTTCACGCCCAATTTTAATGAATCGAGAAAGCATTGAATTGCAACTCTGCATTCTATCCCGTTCCATTTTCCAACCCATTAACAACATTGATTTGCAACATATTACATATGAAAAATCAGCATTTCAAGTGCACGCATTAGAATATATAAAGATGGAATTTAGTGACTGACATACCTCAAAAGATCTAGCAATAGAAGCTAGTAGCTTTGCACTGAAATCGATTCCAACCAAGCAGGTCATGCCTGCAACAAAAGCAGCAAAGACAGCAGCATGCCTTCAGAAAAAAAGAAATATCGTTAGATTAAGGTAATATAATTCAAATGGAAACCGTTAGCTTCCATCATCCACGTTTGATAGAAAGAAAATACAGGAAAGAAACGCTACAAAAAAAGCAAGTGACACTCCGCTGTTTTCAGGGTTGAAGAATAAAGTTAATAAGCACCACGTGATAAATAGGAAGCGCAAGATTGCAAGTTCTTCTCTAACTTTTTATTCACCATTCTATAAAACTCTGTTTTAGGTTTACTGTCTTATCATTGGGAGAGAACCAAAAAGATGGTATGATTGCAAGACGATATAGGCAGATTGGATTTTGTAGGAAAATATCTAACTTCCTTTTCATTCATATCCCACAAAATTAAGAGTGCGCCAAAAAATTCAATAGCCAAAAAAAGCATAAATGGCCATCTCAGTGACTGGGGCCAATATACAAGAAAACATATAAATAGCAGCCATAGCATCCAGAAGAAATCCATTAGATTTGATTAGGAAAATAAAATGCCAGAAGGAGTTTCTACTATACATTCAAACACTTCTGATGTATTATCCCCTTAAAGCAACAGTGAACTGTCAAGAGAGCGGTGAAGACAAACTTTGTTTGGCAAGACGGACGGCAAACTTAAATCTTGATCAATCACAAATGGTTCATGCTTTATTGCATCACCTAGTAGTTTTAAATGGACCAAGGAGCATATGATTCCAGGCTTCAAGCTTGATCAGCACTTGGTTTATCACCATGGTTAGTGATGCGGACATCCGACGGTGGACGTTACTCAATAGAAGAGGCGATGATGAACGGCCGAGATCACTCCCTTTTTGTCTTAGTTTATTAATTGTATTTTGATTTAATTTTGAATTTCTCATTTTTACCCTTATTTAAGAGTCTTGTCTTATGTAAGCCCAAGGGGCAAAGTTGTCTTTTTTAATTTCTTTTGTTTTGAGGCATATATATATATATATATAGGCCCTTGCTCTTGTATTGGCATGATGGATTATTAAGACAAGAAATTTGTTTTGCACTTTTATTCTTTGGGAGGACATTAGTGGAAATCCCTATGGGGAATTGTGGTTTCCACTAGCCGCAAGATGGGTCTGGACTCGTTGCGTGAAGTCCCTTGGTGAAGGGCATCGTATCACCCGTCAGTCTTCGGAAGAGTCCAAGGCTCGCGGTTCTATCTCTTTTTTCTTTGTTTTGTTTTTCCTTATGTCCCTAAACCACCACCTCCCCAAGCCCTCCACCAAGGCATCAATCATCTCATAAACCCTCATCACCTCCACACCATCGGCCTACACCAACCCCTCCCTTCCTCCTATCTCCCCTTGGCCAAAATCCACCATGGGTCCACCCACCCGCCGGCCACCTCCTTCCCTAACCCCACTTCCCTCAAAAAAAAATCCCTCTTTCATTATTTAAGTTGTCATTAATTTGAAAATATTTTAAATTCAAATTAATCTAATTTGAATTTCAAATCCATCGATTTCATCCTCATTAATTACCTTATTTTTGGAAACCTCTTTCATTCAATTAATAAATCAATTCTGAAATTGATTGATTAATTAATCCCTAGTCCAAATACATTAAACCTAGACACCCATTGTCCCCCCTCTCTCTTGGCCGGCCCCATACCCATGCCCTCTTTAAATTTCTTTCCAAAATTAGATTAATGATTATCTTGAAAAGGTTTTGAATTCAAATCCAACACAATTTGAAATTCAAATAATTCCTAAATTAATTGATCTATTTTAGAAAAGTCTTTATATCAATTCCAATTCAATTCCAAATTGGATTTGAATAAAATTCTCTCCCTCAATTTAAGACTATTAAGTAGGCAAGCTTTAATTCCACCCCTCCCTCTCTCCTATTTTAATAAATGCTTCTCCATTAAGGCCCCCAATCTCTCTCCATTTAAGGGATTAATTAAGTACCATTCCCTCCTTTTCTCATTTAATTTGAAATTCAAATTTCAAAATTTTCCCCCCACCCCATCCGTTCTACATCTCTCTAGAAATGCAAAATTATTATACACTTAGCCAAACCATTAGATGGCATTAAAAAAAAAGTTTTTTATTATCAAATCCCTACTAAAGTCATTCAGCTCACAAGACTTATGCATAAAGGGCCTGCCTTAAAAATATTATTCTAAATGTTCTCAAAAAATCTACCAATAAAAGCTACCCCCGTTAACATCCAGCATCCATGACTAGAAGAAGGTTCGCCCATAAGCCCATCTAAATCCCAGTAAACCAATCAAACAAAATTGACCAATGAAAAAAAATTTAGCGTAGAGAGCGTACGACCTAGTAAAATGCCAGGTTCAAATAGAAATTTGTTGAAAGAACATATGTCAAAAGTGAGCCCTCATGTTTCCCAAAGCTATCGAACACAATCACAGCACAAAAATTCACTAAATGAACATCCATAAAGCCGATTTATAAGCTTGTCCAAGTTAAATTTAAGAATATTTGCCTTATTTGGAATAAATGTTAGTGATTATCTGCAATTTCCATCAGAATTTATAAAGAATTTGTTGGTTGGCCTGCCATTTGGTCAACCTACTTGACCAACAAAAACTCCGCCCAAGCCTGGCAGGCGATGTTGGTGCGATTTCAGGCCATTGTTACTACCAACTTTGATTAGTGATTAAAATTTTTCGGCATGTTCACAATAAAGTTGTGACCTTAACATGATAACAAGTCAATGAGTTGTATAGCTAATTGATGGGACAAATTTAGTGTAAGTTTGCTGCTTCTTCATTTTGATCCATCATAAACAGACCAATATCCATGGAGAATGCCATGAATTTGTTCGTAACTCGAGAGAAACCTTTTAAGAGAAGTGTCTCAAGATGAAGCGGAAGTGTAGCAAACATAAAGACTTGAAGAAGATTGGAATGTTTGACATTTGTTGCAACTAAATGAGGGAACAAATCCTAACAAATGATTCTTATATGATAACTTTATTGACAAGCATCTTCTTTTCAAAGAGGGTTTAAGGTTTCATTTATTCTATGACTTAAAATTCATTACTAATTATATAGGCCTTAATAAAATAATTCTAGCAAATTTAGCCTAACATATTTGATAGATAGATGTTTAAGTTGAAAAATGGTCATAAATAGCATTCCTTTCATAAACATTATTTGTATTTAATGAGATTTTTGTGTTTCATAAGATACAAGAGTTTTAAGAAGTCCATGCTCAAAAAAATCCACACAAAATTAAAGAAAATTTGGGATGAATACTAACCATTAAATGATGGAAACCAAAACAAATCCATCATACTGACTTGTTTATAACCACACCAAAAGCTGCCATCTAAAGAATATATATATATTTTTTAATAAACCTATAATTAGAGGGAGTGGGAAGGAATTACATTGACTTGTTTATAACAACACCAATCATTGTCATCTTAAGCACAGATTTTTTTTATTTACCAATAATTAGAGATAATGTGGAGGAATGCTTGGCAGATTGAGCGGTCCATACAAATGAAAGGGAGTGAAGGCTTCATTTGATTAATAGTGAAGGATATAAATTTTTGTTATAAAGTAAAGGACGCAACCATTATGATACCTTTTCCATAGCTACACAGTGTAACATAGCTTAACAATTAAAACTCAAATACACTGATGAGATGACGTTATAATTTATAAGTATAATTTCAAGAACACCTGAATCTTTAAAATCAACAAATTGTTCAAATCACTTTATCACATCAGAACCAGCCAATCATTTGAAGCCAAACTACATTTCCATAACTACTTTTACCAATAACTACTTTTTTAATTATAACTGACTTTTAAAAAAATCTAAAGTATTTGTAATAACCATCACCATTGTCAACACTAAAAACCTGGTCTTCACTAGTCAATTTAATCGAAAAATCAAACCAACTTTCTAACGTAGCATTAAATAAATAAACCTTATCATTACACTGACCCTTTTGTTAACAAGCATAGAAAAAACCAAGTTCCCTTCATGGTACAGCATGCCTCAGTATGTGGTGTACTAACTTTTTCTAGAAAACTATAGCATCAAAAAACCGTTCTCATTTGATCATTTCTTTAATTATTGATATCATCAAAAGAGCTTGATAGATGGATTCAGTACCCAGCTCCCTCCAAAAAAATTTATCTTTCTTAGGTAGGATCAGGTTAAAGAGCAACTACAAGCAAGCTTTTTCACTTTACTGTAAGGTATAAAATATTTGCATTCTACAGCAGGGAGAAAAGGAAATGTGTAGTTATTTTTTCTTGAAAACAGCAATTAAATTTCAAAAGTTAGAAAGTTTAGTTCACACCCTAGGATGACTTCTAAGTTACAACAAAACAACAACATCAAGCCTTTATCCCACTATGGGGTCAGATACAAGATCATTTTGTCTCCATTATATCCTGTTAAGAGTCAAATTCTCATTTAAATCTAATAAAGAAAGATCATTTCTAATATTTTCTAACCAAGCCTTTTTAGGTATACCTCTATCTTTTTTAAGGTAAGTCAAATCTAATACATCTACTTTCCTAACCAGGTCATCGGAAGGCCACCATTTTATGCGACCAAACTATCTAAGGCGACTCTCTCAAATCTTATTTTCCACTGGAACTACTCCAACCTGTTCATGTATATGCCCATTTTGTGTCCTGCCTCTAAGAGTAAAGCCACTCATCCACCTGAGCATCCCATCTCTGCAACACAACTTAATATTATGCTTCTCTTTTAATGGCCAACATTCTGCACCATAAAGCATTGCAGGTCTCACCACCAACTTATAGAATTTTCCCTTAAGGTTGAGGGGGACTTTTCTATCATACAACAAGCTCAATGCATTCCTCCACTTAATATTATCCCCATCTATTTCACCATCACTCTGAACAATAGACTCAAGATATCTAAAATGTGTACTCTTCTTAATGGCTTGATCGCCCAAAGTCGCAATCCCCCCACTAGATCTATTATTACTAAAATTATACTCAATATATTCAGTTTTTGATATACTCAAATGAAAGTCTTTTGACTCTAAGGTTGGCCTTCATAATTCAAGTTTACCTTCAACTCCCTCTCTAGTCTTATCAACAATAAGAATCTCATTATCAAAAAGCATATACCAAGGTAAAACCTCTTGCAAATGTCTAGTGAGAACATCCATGACTAAAGCAAAAATATATGGGCTTACGGATGATCCTTAATCTAATCCAACTGAAATAGGAAAATACTTGGTCAAACCACCTTGTGTTTGAACATAAGTAACATTTCCTGCGAACATATTAAATATATGTAGCAAAGATGCATAGAAACTATGAAATCCCACAAAAATTATTTTCAATTACAAAATAATTATTCAACCTCAACAAAATCAATTGTAGAGTTAAAAGATAGCTAAGTGAGTCTGTTCAATAAATTAACATGGCATCCTACGATGACCTTGGCAGAACAAACATAAGGTAAAGTCCATCTTTGTCAATAACTTGACTAGACTAAAAAGCCAAAACTATGCATAAAAAATTTCCATGTCAATCCTCAAACAAGAAAAAATGGTAGTAATAATTAATTGAATAATATTAACATATAAATAAAAAATTTCCATTTCAAACCTCAAACAAGTAAAAATTGTATTAATAATTAATTGAATAATATTAACATATAAATAAATTAGCTCATTGTTTTCTCATTTTATTTGGCAAACACAGATGTGCTATTAATAACATCTGCTTTATATAGGACCAGTAAAAAATAAAAAAAGTAGCTTTAACTTAAATATAAGGTAAGAGACAAGATATCATACTGTTCATTTCCACGTGGCCCCCCTACACATGATGCCACAATCTCCATACCAACTATTTGACAGCCAACACTGCGAGTAACTGACTATAAAAATGTCAGGACTACCGAAAAAAAATACAATGATGTCATGATAAACTCTTGAGATAATGGAACTCAAAACATATACTGAAAGCATCAAAGAAGCTTTTTGTTTAATCAAAATGCATATTGAAACTAGTACTTGAAAAATTGCAGCCACATCTCCTGAAATTGACTCCACGTTAGATTCAGAAAGTTTATTCAATAATCCTGAAACATTAAGAAAAAATAAAATTAAAACAAGAAGCTACAAATGAAAGAAAACTAATGAACTACAAAATAGAAATCCATATGAACAGTATCAGCAACAATTACCTCTCACCCTACGGCGAATCTGTGCATGCTCTTCAGATTCACACATAGCGCTAGCACGTAAATGAGGAGCTATGTACTTCACACTTGCATCTAGTTTTAGTTTTTCATGAGGAAGTTCTACAATTGACACATCTCGATATTCAGCAGCATCATTTGTATTATCAATAGGGAAGTTTTCCTCCAACTGCTTAACCAATGCTTTAGAAATCTTTCTCCTCTTGTGCTTCTTTCCTTCAATAATAGTCTTAAGCTCCTTCTCACTCTCATCAGCCTCATCTCCTGCAGATAACTCCTCAAGCTTCCTTTTTCCCATCTCACCTTTCAAGCCATTCTGATCATAGTCATATTCTGCAGCTGAAAAACCATCAAACTTGCTGCCCAATTCAGATGTGATCCCTTCAATTAACAGGTCTAATCCATCATTCAGACCGCCCAATTTCCTTTCCTTTAGCTTCAATTTCTTTGCCAACTTCTTTTCCATCTCGAGATCCTCCTCTGCATTAATAACACCTTTGGTCATCTCCATCTTCAAGTACTCGTGGAACTTGCTTTTTGGCCTCCTCTCCAAAACCTTTTCCACTTTATTATTTGCAGAGAAAACACTTCCTGAAGAGCTGTTCTTTCCCTTATCCTTCTTTGCGATAGCAATCCCTTTAGGAATTGGCTTTGAATTGAGGAACTGTTTCTTTTTCTCTTTTGCCTTCTCCATTTTTCTATTCTGCTTCCACAAATTCATAGTTTAATTTATAAAATCGTATCATTGATAACATTTCATGCAATAAACTTCAGATATACATTTGTATTAGATCTTATATTATAGTAAGTTTGTCTTAATTGTCCCATTGACCCACAGTACCCACAAGTTAAATTCCCCAAGCGCAACAAGAGAAAAAGATTATAAAAAATAAAAAATAGAGAACCTGATGACCACGCCATGAGTTAAACTGCTTCTGTCGCTTATGCAAGCGGACTTCCTTTCTCCTCTCCTTTCGGGTCTCGCCTTTATTTCCATCTTCACAAAACGTAAGCAATTAGAATAAACGGGAAAGAACGTCCATTGAGATCCTAAAAGAAGAGGACGTTATGGAAATAGAAAACCCTATGCTTCACTTACCCATATTATCTGGTAAATCCCGGATTTACGAAATCCTTCGGTTCGGCGGATTTAAGGTATTCGTGTGGCGCGAAGGAAAAAGAATCCCGACCAAAGAAGAGCGCGAAAGCGCAGAAATATCGTTACCTTCGCGGCGAACTCCCGGCGCAACTTCTGATCCGACAGTAACAACGTCGGAGGAGGCGGCGAAGAAGCTTGGACCCGTTCAGAACTCTACTTCACGAGGAACAGCAGCGAATAAATGCATAAGAGAAAAAGCAAACCCTAGAGAGGCAATGGCAGTTGACTCGCTCGAAGCTCTACCCCACGCGAACTAGCGAAGCGGAAGAGGAGCTCAATTTCACGCGAACGGCAGCCGAAAATATCTCCAGCGAAGGAGAGTACAAGTCCCACGGGCTCATTTAAAGAAAGATAATTTCTAATATTTTCTAATTAAATTTTTTTTATATCTACTTATATATTTTCTAATATAAGTCAAATTTAATACTTTAATTTTTTTTAACCGGGTCATTGAAAGGAAAATGCATTCCGTCAGGTTACATGACGTAGAGCTACATCAGGTAGCATATAATATGTCGTCACGTGCACTTACTCTTTACCGCGCGGCCCGACGACCCGACTCGGAACGGACCCGGGAGTTTGCGTAGCTCGGTATTGCAAGGTATTGGTCGATTTTGCTCGACAAAAATGAAAAATACTATTATGTGAATACCAATACCGAGCAATACCGAGTTCAATACCGAGCAATACAGAGTTCTTTTAGGTATTGATCGGTATTGGTCTTCACATAGCGGTATTTCTCGTTATTTCCAAGCAATACCGAGTAATACCTAGCAATACCGAGCAATACGCGAACATAGTAATCCCGGATTCGGTCCGAGTCGGGTCGTCGGGCCGCGCAGTAAAGAGTAAATGCACGTGACGACATATTATAAGCTACCTGATGTAGCTCTACGTCAGGTAACCTGACGGAATAATCTTTCCATTGAAAGGCCTCTGTTTAATGTGACCAAACCATCTAAGGCGACTCTCTCTAATATTATTTTTCACTCGAACTACTCTAACCTTTCACGTATATGATCATTTTGTATTCTATCTCTAAGGGTAAAGCCACTCATCCACGTAAGCATCCTCATCTCTGCAATACTTAACTTAATATTATGCTTCTCTTTTAATGGCCAACATTCGGCACCATAAAGCATTACATGTCTCATCACCATCTTACATAATTTTCCCTTAAGTTTGAGATGGTAATTTCTATCGCATAACAAGCCCGATGCATTCATTCACTTCAACCACCCAATTTAAATTCTGCTGATAATATCCCCATCTGTTTCACCATTACTCTAAACAATAGGTTCAAGATATCTAAAACGTGTACTCTTATTAATGACTTAATCACCCAAAGTCACAAATCCCTCACTAGGTCTATTACTACTAAAATTACACTCCATATATTTAGTTTTAGATCTAATCAGGTGAAAATCTTTAGACTCTAAGTTTGACTTCCATAATTCAAGTTTACCTTCATCTCCCTCTCTAGTATTATAAACAAGAAGAATATCATCAGCAAAAAGCATACACCAAGGCACATCCTCTTGCAAATATCTAGTGAGAACATCAATGACTAGAGCAAAAAGATATGGACTTAAGGCTGATCCTTGATGTAATCCAACTTAAATGGAAAAATACTTGGTCAAACCACCTTGTGTTTGAACACATGTAATAGTTCATGCATACATATCTTTAATGATTTGAATATAAGCATTTTTTAACTTCTTTCTTTTCAAGAACTTTCCATAGCATTTCTCTTGGAACTTTACCATATATTTTCTCTAAATCAATAAATATCATATGTATATCCTCCTTATTCTCTCTATATTTCTCCATCAAACCTCTCAATAAATGTATGGCTTCCATAGTAGACCTACACGACATGAATACAAATTGATTTTGAGAAACATTAGTATCACGTCGCATCTTACGCTCTATAACTCACTCCCATAGTTTTAAAGTATGACACATTCACTTAATTCCTCTATAATTTACACACTCTTGTGCATCACCTTTATTCTTAAAAATAGGAATTAACACACTCATTCTCCACTAATCTAGCATCTTTTTAAGTTTTCTAAACAGTATTAAAAATTTTAGTAAGCCAAAAAATTCCTTCATCTCCCTATCATTTCCACATCTCTATTAGAATATCATCAAGCCCAATAGTTTTTCCACACTTCATTTTATTTAAAGCCTCTCTAACTTCTATTTTACTATTATGCCGATAAAAACAAAAATCTTTATTTTCATTTAGGGTGCTAAATTCACTAAAGTCAATCTTATTTTCACATTCTTTATAAATTACTTAATTAGATATTAATTTAATTAAATTAATTCATATAATTTAAAGTATAAGAGGGATTTACATGCATACCACTATATAATAGGTATATTACAAATCTAATGCCTAAAACTCTAAATTTTCATTTATACCACCCAAAATAAATGTTAACCTAAAATCTAACACGTCGTCTGTGAGATCTTGTTCCCTTACTGTTCCTCTCTGAATTGGATTTTTCTCCCAGGATCGGCCGGGACGATATTCAGATCGTCCAGGCCAATCAGTGCATTGAAAACGGCTGATTTCTGGAGTGTTTTCTGGAATGATTTCTGGACTGGATCGTCCAGGCCGATTTTGGATCGTCCTGGGACGATCAGTGCTTGGCAAAATCCCGAGAGCAAGGGTTTTTGGCAAATTAATTATCGGCCTGAGGAATCGTCCGGGCCGATTGGATTTTGTTCTGATCGGCCAGGACGATGTGGCGATCGGCCGGGCCGATCAGGCTTATGATATAAGCAAATCAGCTCGTTTTGAGGAGAGAGAAAATCATTTTATAAAACAAAAATATCTGAGGAGAGAGAAAGAGAAAGGAAAAGAGAAGAAAGCTTGGATTTCGGAGGCCGCGGAGCGCTTTTCGTATTGAAACCATCGTATGGATATCTACAACATTAATATGGATTCTACAACAGCAACATAGCCAGTTGATTGTACTTGTCCAGTATTATCGTATTGACTGCATGTGTGCTGTATTGACATACGGATTTACTGCTTTATTGATTTGATCGGATTTATGGATTTATTGTATCATACGATTTCATCGATTTCATTGATTGATCGCTGAGCATTGATACTACTGAGCATAGATATTGACATGGATGGATATAGATATTGTATTGATTCATTGATGATATGGACATAGATATTATCGATTCATTGATATTATTGCATATAGACTCATTGATACTATTATTTCTGCACCGTATTACCTGCTGCATTTGATTCATTGCTAGTATAGATTGAGATTTATCGTATTTCTTTTCCGATAGATTTTATTGACTAGATAGTATTGATTTGATCGATTGATTTGACTGATCGACGGATTCTTCTGAGATTTTATGTACTGATTGATTGAGTTTGATTTATCGGTTCTTCTATCGCTGCATCGATTATTGATTTCATCGACTATTGATTTCATTGACTATTGATTGCCGTACTGCATTGGCTACTGATTTGATTTCCGCTGCATAGACTCATTGACCATTGACTGTTATGGTTTTGATTGACTGACATGCATATTGATAGCAGTACCGTGCTTTGATTTCAGTTGTAGGCTTTGGTGACCTGCTGGGCTATTTAAGCTCATTATATGTGGTTGACAATTTCAGGTCCGAGCAAGACAACTGGAATGGAGTTCGATCAGAATGTTAGACGAATCCTTTCACTATGGATGCCTGGGGCGTCACATCATCTCTCCTGCAGCTCATTTAGTCTCCTTCCCACGCTCATGTCATTATGTACTCGAATCCCTCTTCCTTCGAACTCATCTCTTTGCGCACTCTTCCCGTAATCTACTCTCAGTGAAAAAATAGTAAGTTTTGTCACCATCAAATTCCTCTTCCCGATCGCTCTTCCCCTACTTGCAACGACCTACAAACTGTGATTTTTTTTTTTCATTCTGTTGTTTAAAGATGAATTGTTGTATTTGTATGCTCAAATTCCTCTTCCTGATTGCTCTTCTAGATTGTTATTTTGTTTTCAAAACTAAACCTATAAATGAGAAAGACAATAAGAATGCATTAATATTTCAGCTTTTGTAATAATATTTTTAGTTTCGAAAAAGATTAAAATTTTAGTATTCTAAGACAATATTTGGAGGAATTTGTTCTTCATATGCTACATTTAGATGCTAATTTCACTTTATACATTTCAGATATACGTTTGGAGAATTGGGTTGAAATCATTTCGCTTATTTCCAATTTTACTAACAAAAGATTGTTCATTTACTAATATGACATCAGTATGAAATTTTTCTGAGCATCGAAAAATTTATTGAAATGTCTTCATATAATTTTTTAACTGTCATTTTTATCTTGGAAATTACTGATCTATGCAGGTTTATGGTGACAAAAGAGGAAAAGATTTATGCAGCAAAGGAAAAGAGCATATTGTTGTTGCCTTTAAATTTTGAGGGTTTTGGGTTGGCACCAAGGACAGACTAGGAAGAGGTACGATAGTGGTAAACAAAGAACTATCAAATTTGAGAAAGGTTATATCAATCTTTACACACTTAGAGCGGATATTGATAGAATATATCCATGGCTTAAGTAACATAAGTATAATATGCATTATCACATATACGGAACATCCCAAAGGAATATAAAGTTATTAATAACGATGTTGACATGAGTGAGTTGGATAAATTATCAAATAAAAATTTACGTGTTGAGATAGTTGTCACACTTAAAGAAGCAGATGGAGATGAACCAAATTCATACCTTATGAGGGTTGTGAGTACTGAACAGATGGCATAATGTTATATTACCCATAAAGATGATAATTCAAGTGCTCATATGTCAAGTGTTATAGATATAACTCTTGGCACATTTTTTAGTTATGCAATGAGTTTCATGAATGCTCTCTGATCAGTTGTCATTAAGGAAAACTTTGGGTTAAAATAAAAGACACTGATAAGAAACGTGTTATTGCAACATATTATCATCAGGGTTGTCAATAGAGAATGTAGGCTTCTGTATGTGAAGACACTCAATCTTCTTAAGTCAGGAGAGTGGATGGAGTGTACACATACCCTGAGGTGAATCGTGCGGGGAATAGAATCGCCACAGCTACATGGGTTGTCAATAAGGTTTAGGAGATGGTGAAGATGCACTCAGACATCCCACCAAAAGAAATCAATAGTGGTCTAGAAATGGAGTATGATTTTTTATTACCCTATATGAAGCTTTGGAGGGCAAGGGAGCAAGCTCATGATACAATATTTGGCCCAGTTGATGATAAATATAAGTGGGTTCCAACATTATGAGCG